TTGTTATCATAATTATTGAAGTCTAATCTAGTTGATGATTCCCTTTTCTCTCATCCAGACTGTTAGAGCTCCATTCCCCAGACGGCCAGCACACGGTGGTGCTGCGATGTAAAGACGGCCCCACCGCCAACACCTGGTTCACTGCCATCCACACCAACATTGCCGCCCTGCTGCCACAGACCTTGGCTCACATCAGCGCCTACCTGGGGGCCTCGACCTCAGCCTCCACACACCCCCATCTCAAACACATTGGCTGGCTGGCTGAACAGGTATTAAAAAAAGACCAAAAAGCCCCAAAACAACGACACACATGACCAGATGACTTTGAGCTGGAAGACAAGCGGGGGAAAAGTTTTTGTTGCCAGGTTTTGTTGCTTAATGGATGAACTGTTTGTTTTGAGGCTTTACTTTCACTTTCTATCACCCTCTCTTTTTGCCCGATGTGCAGCAGCGTGGCTCTTTAACAGGGCAGGATTTCCATAGTTACCCCAACTGTTTCACCACCCACCTTTTAGGTACCTGCGAAAAGCTACCAAAGGCCACTGTGTTGGGGGAAAAAAAATACGCTGTCACCCGAGCCTTAGTTTTCCTGGGATATTTTTGTATTCAGCAGCAAAATTGCATCAAAGCTTAAGGAGACCCAGTGTAAACACAGATCCACAATGAATGCACAAAACACAGACTGCATGAGAGGGTAGACAATAGAGGCATGTAAGGAAGAAGAGGTGCTCATTGCATGATGGGAAGTCCCCCTGCAGTGGGAAACTATGTTAGCATAGCTAAAGGGGTCGTTCAGGGTGACAAGAACCAGTCCAAACTAGAAGATTTATCCAAAAAGAAATCATCCAGAGAGGGTGCCTGTCTCCTAAATCCAAATTGAGAGCTGGGCCCTCAGAAGAGGTACTTAATAGCTGAAGGCTCTGCCTCCTACTCTACGTTTAGAAACTCTAGAAATTCCAAATAAGCCTGCATCCTGAAAGCAAAGTGCTCCACAGGGGTAACATTATGCTGTGAAGTCTTTAAGAGCATTCAGGACTTTTTATGCAAGGATCAAAAATGTAATTTAAATTCTGGAATTAACAGGAAGCCAATCTAACTGAAATATTTTTGTATTCATCATCAGTATGTCTGCATGGTAGAAAGTGGAAATCCAGTGTATTATTAGTACTGATGATGAGTTGAAGCACAAGTTGCCCTCAAGAGGAAATTGCGTCTGTGGTTTTCTTTGTTGCTCGTATGTCACTAAACAAACCTGACGCTCAGACGTGGAGGCTGGCACTTCTGTATGTGAAGCAGCCACAGGAAGCGCGTGTTTTCTTTAATTAGCTTCAGTCCTAACCTCTCCACGTGGCCTCTGAAAGCAGGGCTATACTTTTATCGCACACAGGAACGGTGACTTCACTTTGAAGTGTCTAGTTCTGTATATTTTGACCTGGCTGGAACAGGAAGCACAGATAGAAGTTTCCCTTGTGTTACGTTATATCCTGCAGAGCCCACCTCTGCACCGCAGACACACTCTGTGTTTTAGTGTTGTTGCTTTGCACTGAAAAAACTCCAGTCTCGCAGTAATGACTCGGATGAACACATTGCCCTATTTTTACCACGCGGC